GGTGTATTCAGTTACTCCAAATTATATGCTTATATCTGAAGACTTAGTGCTATGAACTATAGATCTGAGAGAAAATACATTATGCTTACTGTGATGGTTTGTATATGCTTGGCTCAGGGAGTGGCACTATTAGGAGGTGTGGCCCTGTTTGTGTAGGTGTGTCATAAGACCCTCATCCTAGCTGACCAGAAGTCAGTCTTCTATCAGCCTTCAGATGAAGATGTAGAACTCTCAGCTCCTCCTGCACCATGCCTGCCTGGATGCTGCCATGCTCCTACCTTGATGATAATGGACTGAATCTCTGAGCCTGTAAGCCAGCCCCAATTAAATGTACTTATAAGAGTTGCCTTGATCATGGTGTCTGTTCACAGCAGTAAAACCCTAACTAAGACACTTTCCTCTCTGGGTCTGGATTACTTTACATATACAGCCCCCCTGCCATGTTCATCCATTTACTTACAAATTTTATGATTTATTTTTTTCTTTATAATTTTCCATAGTGTTTCTGTACTACATTTTCATTACCCATTCATCAGGTGAAGGACATTTAGGTTGTTTCCATCTCTTAGCTTTTGTGACTACAATAATGAATGGAGATGAGCAAGTATCTCTGGAATAGGATGTTACTCCTGTCTTAGACAGTGTTCTATTGCCATGAAGAAGCACCATGACCACAGCAACTCTTATGAAGGAAATCATTAAATTGGGTGTTGCTTACAGTTTCAGAGGTGTAGTTGATTATCAGCATGGTGGGAAACATGGGTGCACACAGGGAGACTTGGGGCCAGAGGAGTTGAGAGATCTACATCTGGACCAACAGGCAGCAGGAAGAGAGAGAGAAAGAGTTCGGGGGGAGACAGGGAGAGACAGAGAGAAACAGAGACAGAGAGACAGACAGACACTAGGCCTGGCTTCAGCATTTGAAACCTCAAAGCCCACTCCCAGTGACACACTTCCTATTCTCTGTCAAGTAGCACCACTCCCTAATGACCACACATTCAAATATATGCACGTATGGGGCCATTCCTTTTCAAACCACCACATTTTATTTCCTGGTCCCCATAGGCTTGTAGCCATATAGTAATGCAGAATGCTTTCAGTCCATTATCAAAAGTCCCCATAGTCTATCCCAGTGGCAACACTGTTTACAAGCCCAAAGTCTCTTCAGAGATTCATGGCAATTTCTTAATTGTGACCCCCTATAAAATCAGAATCAAAAGCAGATCACATCACATTCAGTGGCACAGAATAAATACTGCCTTTCCAATGGGGAGGAAAGGGAGCGCAGTGAGGAAATACTAGACCAAAGCAAGACCTCACACCAACAGGGCACACCCCACACTCTGCACCTCCATATTGACGTCCAAGAGCTCTTCAGATCTTAAAGTTCTTTCAGTTTTGTTGACTACAACACACTTCTCTATCTTGGGCTAGTTCCTCACCCAGTGTGCAGCTTTCCTCAGCAGGTATCCATAGCTCTGACATCTCTGACATTTTGGGATCTCTAAGTCAATCCAGGCTTCACCTTCACAGCCTCATGCAAAGGCTTCTCTGGGCCTCCATGCAGGTGCGTATGCCTGGCCCCGACAGCTTTCCTTAGTCACAGAGGGAGATTCCATAACCCTGTTTTATATTCTTGTCTCTGAAGTCAGGACCATGTGACCAAAGTTGCCAAGTTCTGTTACTTGCTGGGGCTGGATTATGGCCCCTTCATTCAGTTACGTCTGCATTAGTTCTCTGGTTCGTTCACTGCTTAAATTTTTCTTAATTTCTTTTCATGAGTTGGAAGCTTGTCTGGGTTCGCCTGAGTTTACCACTCTCTTGATTACTTTTAGAATAAGGCTTTTTTTTTTTTAAACTCTTTCCTGTCTTTAAGCCCTGGACTTAGCTCTATTGCACTTCCAGATTCTCCTTTTCTTCTCAGACTGCATTTTGTATTTTTCCTCGATTAGCTTGCACCTTTTCATTCTAGACTGCATAAACGTAATCACAAATAGTCACAGGGCATTGGCAGTTCTAGGCTGCCTTGGTATCACCTCTACCAGTGCCATTTAGTTCAAAACTCTTTGATTTAGCCTCCGGTGGACTTTTCAGACAAGGGTAAAAAACAGCCACATCCTTTGGCAAAATATCGTAAGAATGATCTCTAGGCTACTTACCTGCCATTCTTCTCCCGACACCTCTTGAGCCAGGCCGTTATACTCTACAGCTTTCAGCACCGTTGCCTTCCCTCCCTAGGGGGAGGCCCAGCAAGCCCCTCTTACAGCATCAACTGCTTTCTTAACCTACAGTCTAGAATCTGCAAACAGGAAGCATTGTATAGCAGTACCTCTCTCTGGTATTTTTCTGTCTTCGTCACTACTCTAGTTAGCAGCATGAACACTGGGGAGCAGAACCTAAAAATGAGGCACACTAAAGTCTGATGCAATAGCCAACTTTATTCAGAACATCAGACAATTTCTATTCTGTGGTATTCACTTTGTCTAGTCACAAGGACAAGGTCATGAGTTTCTCTGTATAAGAGGACAACTGGTGGTTAGAAACATCTGAATAGAATAGTAAGATAATGAAGTAAACCCACTCCTATTTACTGCACTTGAGAGGGGCACAAAAATATATCCCAAGAACAATGCATGTTACGGAGAGACAGAGGTTACAAGACTTTCTCCTTGTTTCCTTGAAGTTCTCTCACAGGCTTTCAGAACTCTGCTCACGTAGCTTCATCATGAACTGTATTCTGAGAGTCACTGTTGTACTGCTGTGCAGAGACGTCGTAGTCAAGGCAATGCTCATAGAGGAAAGCATTTAATTGGAGATTGCCCACAGTTTCACATGTGTTGTTCATTATTAGCATGGTGGAAAGCAAGAAGGCACACAGGCAGGCGTGGTGCTGGAGGAACTAAGAATTCTACGTCTGGACCCACAGGAAGCAGGAAGAGAGAGAAACACTGGGCTTGGCTTGAGCATTTGAAACCCCAAAGTGCGGGGCAGTGGTGGCGCACGCCTTTAATCCCAGGACTTGGGAGGCAGAGGCAGGTGGATTTCTGAGTTCGAGGCCAGCCTGGTCTACAGAGTGAGTTCCAGGACAGCCAGGACTACACAGAGAAACCCTGTCTGGAAAAACCAAAAAAAAAAAAAAAAAAAAGAAGAAGAAACCCCAAAGCTCCTCCCCAGTGACACACTTCCTCCAGCAAAGCCACACCTACTCTGACAATGTCACCCCTCCTATTCCCTGTCTGGTAACATCACTCTCTAATGACCAAGCTTTCAAATATATATATGAGCATGGGTCAGGGGGAATGTTGTTCCTATCCAGACCACCAAATGCTGAGGAATGGGTCATATTGTAGACTTATTTTTAGCTTTTTGAGAATTCTTTACAGTGCAATCCCTAAGCAGTGAGTGAGGGTTCTCCTTTCCCTAAGTCATTGCCAGCATTTATTATAAGTTTTATCAAATTTACCTATTCTGACTGCAACAAGCTGAAATCTTAAAGTTGTTTTAATTTGTATTTTTCTAATTACTAAGGGACCTTCATATAGTCACTGTGATGAGACACCATGACAAAGGCAAATTACAGAAGAGAGCATTGAATTTGGATTTACAGTTTCAGAGAGTGATTTTATGACTATCATAGTGGAGACCATGGCAGCAGGCAGGCATGATGCTGGAGCAGTAGCTGAGAGTTCACATTTGATCCACAAGCAGCTGAGAGAATTAATTGGGAATGGCATGAGCTAGTCACGTGTAGTGACGCACCTCTAACAAGGCCATACCTCCTAATCCTTTTCAAAGGTTTTCACCAACTGCAGACCAAACATTCTAATATATGAGTCCATAGTGGCCATTTTTGTTCAGACCACCAGAGATTCTTCCAGGTTTCTATCATTTGTGATTTTCAGTTGATTTCCTAGAACATCTGGGTTCTTTTTGTCAGTGAGTAAGCAGTGAGTTTCTCTTTCTATTTAAGAACAGTGTGAGCAGCAGCGCTTGCCCAGCTTAGTCTTCCCTGGGTTTCGGGGCTCCCTCAGTTTGTCACATGGTCCTGACATCACAGCTGAAAGGATCTGTAAGGTTCCTGCAGTATGATTTACCTAGTCAGTCTCTTTTAAAAGCTGGGCAGCTTCAACTACTTGAGTTCCTTGAAAAGATCCAACTTGTCTTTTCTGTTGCAGAACAGGTCAGAGTTTGTCACAGCAGGTGTTGGCAGGATTTCTCCTTTAGCCTTCTGTGTTCATGTCTAACTAAAGAGACTTTTGTGTTGTCATGGGGAAATTAAAAAAAAAACTAGGTTATTATTAGTAGTATTTAATTTTTAAATTACTTTATTTTTTCATGGTACTGGGGAATGAGCCTTGTCAAGAATATGCATCTTATGAGAACGATGGTCTGGGGCAAGAGAACAACCGACGTAGACTTAAACAGACAAACAAAACCCACAGTATTGTCATGGCACTTTGTAGTTAGGACATGGTAGACATCAGCTGTGGAGTGTAAGAAGTTTAAGATTAGAAATTGAGTGATCCTTTGCATTTTAACCCATTGGTATGATCTTAACTGGGGCAGGTTTGTCCTCTAGAATGTCTTTGGCCATGTAAGAGACATACTGGTGTCTGATGATAAAGTCTGGGTACTGCTAAGTAGCCTGTGCTGTATACACAGCCACTACAGCAAATAGTTCTTTGGCTTAGAAGGTTGGAAGGTTCGAGGCTGAGGCTGGGGACCTCCACGTATGAGTACTTGGCAGTGGAAAAGCGCGTAACTGCACATGCTTGTTCGCATCAGAACACCCTGTGAGGTAAGCCATGTTATTCTTCCCCCAGAGGCTCTGTCTGGAAACTCACTGCAATGGAAGCAGGTTATAAGTGTGGACTTAGGTCTTTAAGAAAAGTGTGATCTCTGACACTCAGAATGCAAATGGCTTTCTTTGTTTCACTGTTCTTTTGCAGGGACATCTATTCGAAGCATTAAAGTTCATAATTTATTTTTTAATATTACAGATCTAGAAATGGCCATTGCTTACTGGAACTTAGTGCTTAATGGAAGATTTAAATTCTTAGACTTATGGAATAAATTTTTGTTGGTAAGTTAACATTTTCTGCAGTTTCTGTTTTCTCTGAAGATTATATTGTACTTAAATATTAATTTATTTTAAGGCATCATTAATCTCAGCATATCATGTATATAGAATGAGAAATTTGATTACCAGAATATTTCATTTTACAAGTGTTACATTTTATGTTTTGCAACAGCTGGATTAACTTTTCCCAACTGTTTTCATAATTTAAAGGCTTCTTGTTTTTGATATCTTAATAGGAGCACCATAAACGATCAATACCAAAAGACACGTGGAATCTTCTGTTAGACTTCAGTTCAATGATTGCAGATGACATGTCCAATTATGATGAAGAAGGTAGCAAAAGTATTACCTGCCTTGCCTGACCTTTCATCCACTGTTTCCATGGAAGTGATCTTCCTTTTCTGAGATTTTACACATATACACCCCACTGTGTGTGTATGTGTGTGTGTGTGTGTTTGTGTGTGTGTGTGTTTCTGTATGTGGCGTGTGTGGTGCATGTGCACTAGAAATTGAGCCAGGCTTTAATTTGCTAAGCACTTGCTGTGGCACTTATTTGAGTGACTATTCCGTTTTTGGGGTTTTTTTTTTTTTTTTTTAAAAACATTTTTCAGTACTTTATTTCTTTCCAAGAAGTAAAAGCAAGCCTTTACAAAACTATTTTGTAGTTGAAATTAAATTTTTTGCAGTAATTAGCATATTTTAATAAAATGTATTTATTTTTGTTGATATTTAAACATAAAAGTAATGTATTTGATTAATTAATTGACAAACAACAAAGTGGCAAATTTCTCAAGCAGAAGAGTTCTGAAAACTTGATATAGATAATCTGACTATAAGAGGTCAGAGTTTAGCTCCCTTTTTGTTTTGTTTTGTTGTTCTGTTTTTTTGTTTGTTTTGCCTCTTGGTCAACTGCTGTGAAGGAGGATAGGATGAAGTCTTAGGTGCAGAACATTTGTGGTGTCTGGACTCTGTAGCACCACACAATTAAAGGAGAAATAAAACCTTACCAGTATTTGTCCTGTATAAAGGCATAAGAATATTCACTCATCTCAACATGTTCGGTTTACCGTAAGAGTTGCATTCTCTTATGTATTTTATCTCATTTGAATCCAGTGAGGTTGGTTTTTGGTTGTTTTTCTTTTTGTTTTTGTTTGTTTGTTTTGTTTTTGTTTTTAGTCTTGTCCGTGCTGGATTTGTATAATTTAAAACGACTTCAGCTGCATTCAGCCACTGTTCATAAACTCTCCCATGTCTGTGTGCACAGCATACCGCATTCAGTGGCGCATGAGCTGATCCTTCACTGTTGCCTAGCTCCTCAGGAGAACCAAGCAGTCATTTTTTTTAAGTTTTTGAGTGTAGGACATTCTTTGAAACCCCTCCCGTATACTTCACATCCTCAGAAATGTCCTCGGTCTGCGCGGCTGAGCCTCTACTTCCTTTCCATACTCTTCACTAAACACTGAGCTGCTCATGAGGGAGGGACTGGAGGACTTGTCACAGCGTCACCAACTAGACTGCCTGGCTTTAATAAAACTCTGAAAACCACACTACTACTCTATTACTGATTTGTTGCTCAGAAGAGATATTTTCATTGGTTAAGCAATAACCCCATTCTACAATAATAGATTAAAGACAGGAATATATTAATAGAAGACATAATACTGGTATTTTTAAAAAGTGATCACTGGGAATAGATAAGAGTCACATACTCTTAATTCTTATGAGAAAGCTATTAAAAAAAAAGGATTCTATTAACATATTAGCTTTGATTCTGCTTTTCTCTGTTATCTGTCTCCCATATTTTTTTTCTTTTTCTTTTTTTCCAGGAGCATGGCCTGTTCTTATTGATGACTTTGTGGAATTTGCACGCCCTCAAATTGCTGGGACAAAAAGTACAACAGTGTAGCACTAAAGGAACCTTCTAGAATGTACATAGTCTGTACAATAAATACAACGGAAAAATGCACAGTCAATTTCTGCTGGCTGGACTGAACTGAAGATCAATCCTCATAGTTCAAACTGAGGGTTGAGATAAGACTCTAAGGATACATCTTGGACCATATCGTACTCCATTCTTCTACTGGTGGTTTGGGCTTGTCTTCTAGTCTGGGCCACTCTAAACATTTATAATTCCAACATTGTGGATTTCATCTTATACCTGTGGACCATCTTAGTTTGTCTTCCCATAAGTCATAGAAGCTTGATGGTGATTATTTTGAGGTTTCCATTCTTGCATAAAGCACAATGCTGTCTTCATCAGAAAACAGTTTGGCATAAGAATTAAACATAATAATGAACACCACAAACAATTTATAAAAACTTCTTAAGTATATGCTTTGGGCTAGTTGCAAAGACTATGCTGGTAGCACTTCAAATGAGAGTGATTTATCTGAGTGTACCGCATCTGGAAAGGTGTTTGATTGGGGGAATTTAATTTTCCTGGCAAACCATATGTACTGTTGGTGTGAGTAGAATACCTGATAAAAGAAATGTCAAAATAACCAACACATGGAAAAAAAAAAGGATAATTTGGTAACTCCCTGAAATATGTCTTGTGTCTCAGACTCTCACGAAGGTTCTACAAAACAAGTCTGTGGTTATCTTACCCATGTTTATACACAGTGTCCTACAGTGAACTTTTATTTAAAAAACATTGTAATGAGACCGAATGTTAGCCTCCACTCTCTGCATCACACAGCACATAATCGGATTTCATTATGCTCTGAAATGCTTCTATGCCTTTCGAATAAGTTAAACTATTTCATTTGTTTTGAATGTTTTGGATTGCTATACAATATAATATTCTAAATTTAGGCATGAGGGTTTTAGGTTTGTTTTTTTTTTTTTTAATTTTTTTGTCATCACACTATGGAACACAATGCAATTCACTTAATTTATAAGAAGATAGTAAGATTTAAATTTTGGAAATGGTTGTGATGAGCCGTGAGGTTCAGCCTTCCTCACACAGCAATGCTCCCTCCAGCAGTTGTCCAGCCATGCTGCCTGACTGCTGGGTGCTGACTGCTGAAATGGCTTTACTCCAGGAGCAGAGGTGGTCAGACAAGTGAGCACTGGTGCACATACCGATGGTTTCTGTTCTATAAATTATTTGACTTTTGACTGTTTTTGTCTCGCTTGCATTTGCTATTTCCACATCAAAGCAGAATGCAGTCTTGATTGTTTGTTTTTGGTTTTGTTTTTTTTTGTTTTCCATGACAGGATTCATGACTTGCTCTCCTGCTGAAAATGCTTGTTTCTCTGATAACATACTGACATGTGAGGGGGTATATTCGTAAATATTTCCATGAGGAAGTTAGAATGATGAACTAAATGTTGGGTGACTGGTCTTCAGTAGGAATAGATTTTGCTTCATGTATCCAGGTCCTCTGCAGGGTACCAAGGAATGTTCCTCAGGACGGCAGAACAGTTTATGCAGATATGGAAATGATTAAAACTGCTTTTTAGTCACGTGATTTGGAAAATGCATAGAAAGCTTACCTTACAGATATATCATTAATCCAATCATAACTTTAATTTAGGAATGCATTTCTACCAAAAGAAGCTTAGAGTAAATTTCTATTCACGTTACAGGGATTGGTTATTAAAAGAAAAAAGAATCTTGCTGTTTTCAGTATTTCTTGATTTCATTTTTGTAAATATAAAGAACTTCAATTATGAAAAAAATTGAAGATATATATATATATATATATATATATATATATATATATATATATATATCTTTAAAAGTTTTACAGGCCTATATTGTTTATTCCCTACATGGAACACTTTGAGTTCTGGTATTGTTTCAGATTGATTCAGATATGATTTGTTTTCAAATGAGACTCCATTAGCTTCTTTCCCTCCCTCATAAATTTTTTTTTCATAAAAATCTTTATATTTGTGTGTGGCCTAATGCTTTGGGTTTTACAGATTTTATTTTTAAATGCAAGACTTTTTAACAAAATAGTGTTTGTCATCAGTTTGGTACTAAACATTTACAATTACTGTGTAATTATAAACACAAATATATAAAGCTTTTAATTATGTAGCAAAAAGAGTTAAGGTTGTTCACCATGATGGCATTTTAGGATTAAACAGGACTATCTCTAGGGCTCCAAGAGAACATTGATTTAATGTGTTTGTTCTGAGGGTGAATGTCTGGTCATAGGGAGTGCTTTGTACTGAAAATGCTTACCCTGTTGGGGGAGGGGCATCGGCAAGTCTTCGAGAGGCCATACGGATACATGGCCAGCTCCTTGGCTTCAGTTCATGGGGTTCGGTCTTTGTTTGGGTCAGGTCTTCAAGCTGAGTCTTTTTTCAGACAGAACCATAGGGAGAGTTTACTTTTTGCCAAATGTCAGAACAGGTACACACTTTTAAATGTAATGCTTTTTAAATAGTAAAATGTATAAAATGAGAAGTACCCACATATAAAAATACTTGAGGTCAAGGTTCTCTTCAGTGACTATCATCTGCATAACTCTGTAAGTTCAAGTGTGTCTTCTCCAATCCCTGTCATATTACCCACAGAGGCAATAAAAGCTTCAGTAAATTTGCCATGACTAAATCCTCTCCCATATTATTTCAGTGTTTTAGTGTTTCACAAAACTAGACTATACTTGAAGACTTTTCCAGGAAGAGTCGTTATTCACGGCCGAGCGCTGTAATGGCACATCTGGGGGTGGGGGGGAAGAGAAGCTATGCCACGTGTTTACTCCGTAATGTTTACAACTGTGCTGAGCTGCACTGTTTAATTAACTGCATTAGTTATATACTGCGGCACTGTGAGTGTGCACCCTCATTGTACTTTTTAAAAGTTTTAGTGACAGTAAATTCACTCTGCAAAAACATCGGAAGCCTTTTATGTAATCTCTTTCCTGAATAATTCTTAAACAAGGTAGACTTATTTTTTTTTCTCAAGGATCTACGTACAGAGGGTTTTTTTTTTGTTGTTGTTTTTTGTTTTGTTTTGTTTTGTTTTTTGATGATAAGTTTGAGCCGTTCCATGCCCAGCCTGTTTGTGTGTTTAGGTGTGCTGCTGTAAGAATTGTCAGCGGGAAACCTGTAATTTTGCCATACAGATGGGAGCAAGTTGACCTAAGAGAATAATTTTGGGATTAAAAGTGAAAAATGGTGTTGGGAAAAGTTATAATTGTTTACAAAGTATGCCTTTGTAAAATGAATCAACTTTTAGTGAGAATTTATGTGGCTCTGAATGTTAAATTGTGTACTTAATAGGAAATATTTACCTGACATCTCTGGGCTTTTGTCGTTGTTGTTGTTACCTTAAACTTTTAATAATATGGTTTATATTGAATGCTGAGATGTTTTGATAAGAGTTTATCAAATTTTATAATGTAATGATAAATGTTTTAAAATGTGAACTATTTATCATATATCCTAATAACTGAATTGTGGTTTTTATATGACAGATGATGAATAGGGTCAAATTATGGCTCACCCTTTAATTGATTATAAACTTGAGTGTATTTCTGAACCCATTTATTGCTTCCATTTTTATAATCATAGCAGTTCTTTTTATTTCGTAGGAATTTAGTGAAGTTCATTTCTGGTTTCCGTTTACTCCATTTGGTTAACTGAATTGCTTTATTTGTACCACACTCTGGAGGCAGAACAGATAATCTTGGAACTATCACCAGTGGTCTCCTCTGGGCACTCTTGGCTTCCTCTTTTCTGTATTGCCTGTTTGGAAAGTGTCATTTCCTGTAGACTACCTCTTGGACAACCTTGCTGTGGGCTCAGTCATTGGTGCTAATGCAGCTTTTGACTTCTCTTTGCTTGATTGTTTTTCAAGATTCTTTTTATTTTAAATTATGTGACTCGGGCTATGTGTGGTGTGTACACATGATTACAGGTACTGATTAAGGCCAAAAGAATGCATGGGGTCCTGGACAGCTAGATATGCAGGCCCTTGGGAGCCACCTAAAACAGCTGTGAGCCCCACCCGAGCCCCACCCGAGGAGCAGAGCCAGCTCTCCTTAATCTCTCCACCCCAGGTTAATTTGAAAAACAAACATCATCAAAAATAACAGCATAAAACCCCTCATAAACTATTAAATCATGGTGAAAAGAGCAGAGTTATCATGGCCTAAAGGGTAACGGCTTTATCTAGTTCAGTTTAAAGAGAATTGCTTCGTAGTTAGTTACTCACTTTTGCTTTTGTTGTTACTGTTTTGAAATGGAAACTCATGGACTCCAGGCAGAATCACTGTGTAACCAAGGATATCTTTGAACTTCTGATCCTTTAGTCCCCATCTCCTGAGTGCTGGGATTACAAGTGTGTATCACCACACCGGGCTTATTTGGAGCTGGGGCTCAGAGATGGCATTGTGTATGTTAGACAAGCAAAGTACCAACATCCCTCTACTCTTTTAAACAGAACTTTTAAAGATGTGCTTAAGTGTATACAAAGGTTCTCTTCCTTCACAAGCAAGTTGCAAGTTTCATTTTAATTTTTTGCAGTTATACTGTCCTTTGATTTGCAGGCTACAGCTCAAGGTGTTTGAGTTATCTACTGCAGATGTCTCTACTTCAGGGCTTTATACTTTTATCTTTTGTGGGTGATTGGTTGGTAGTGGTGGTGGTGGTGTTTTGGGATTTGTTTATTTTTGGTTTTGTTTTTGCTTATTTTGTTAGTGTGGGTTTTGAGACAGCTAACCATGAACTCACAGAGATCCACCTGCCTCAGCCTCAGTCAGCTTCCTGAAGGCTGAGGTTAAAGGTGCATGCCACCACACCCTACTGCTTTTCTCTCTTCTAAGTGTTTCATAGGAGATTTGTTAGAATTCAGTTTTTTTAACTTTGTTTTGATACTGTGTTTTTGGAAATGGGGCATGCTATAGCCCAGTATAGCCTCGAACGTAATTCTGCCTCTCAGCCTCCCAAATGCTGGGACTAGAGGCATGTGATACCATGAGCAGCTTGGGTGGTTTTTCTTCCTCTTATGTGTATAGGTGTTTGCCTTTATGTATTTCTGTGTGTCGTGTTCAAGGAGCCCAGAAAAGGGCATTGGATCCCTTGAGACTGAAGTCAGGTGCTGGTGAGCCACCATGTGGCTTCTGGGGATGGAGCTCCGATCCTAGCGAAGAGCAGCCAGTGCTCTTAACTGCTGGGCCATCCCTCCAGTTCCTTAAGTTAGTTCTTAATATTTGAGTTTTAAAATGTTTTGTGTTTAGTTTTGAGGTGGTCTAATGCAGCCTCCAGGTTGGCCTTGAACTCATTCTGTAAATGAGGATGATCTTGAACACCTGACCTCCTGCCCTTGAGGACTGGGATCACAGGCAAGGTTTATACAGTGCTGGAAATGGAACGCAGGGCCTCCAGAAGCACCGACCAGTGGAGCTACACACCTGTTCCTAAGATGTGCTATTGGTTGTCTGAGAAGGTAACTTTACCTCTTTGGCAAATCTGCCAGCCAGTGCAAAGACATGGAGATAAAAGGAAAAGACAGCATCAGCTTAGAAGCAAGCCCTTCTCTGGAAGAAAGCACCCATCAAGTTAAAACAGAAACGTTTTGAACCAAAGTAGTGAAAACAAAGTTTGATTTGAAACAGTTGTGGGAAGCGTACAAGGAACAGCTTAACAAACATGGAAGAGGAAACAGTACAACTGTTTGACATCTGGAAAGTATGTTTGTATGTAAAGGCATATTCAATATAAATATTAAAATTTTAATTCAGGTTACAAAATAGAGAAAACTTTTTATCTAATGAAAAAATTGGGTGGTATCAAGCAAGAATTTTTTTCCAGAAGAAAATAGAGATCAAGGTTGGGGATGGATAAATTTAGAGTAAAATAAATGTGTAAAATGGCCAAAGTGCTGTGCTGTTTGTGAACAGAGGTGACATGGCCACCTTGGCCAAAGTGCTGTGCTGTGGGAACAGAGGTTATGTGGCCGCCTTGTCCCTCTGTGGACTGTAGCCACTGTGAACGGTATGTTGACATGGGATTTTTTTTCAGCCAACATGCTTTCAAGCAAATGTTTTTGTTTTTTAAGATGATGATGCTATGAATGTCTCTGCCTTGTGTGGATTCGTTTTCATCTCTGTTTCAGATTTGGAATTGTAGCTGTAACCACTTAGAGATGTTCTTCCACCACACAAGTATTGCTGGTTCTCCTCGCCCTTCTCCTTCCTTCATACACATGCTCATTCTGGTTAGCTCTCTTATCTACAGGATGTGCAGTCTGAGGGACTTTGAGATGACCTGGAAGATTGCTCTAGAACTAGGGGGGAAAAATGAAATCGGTCTGGACTGTGTTCCTCCATGAAGGTTGAGTTTTCTGAAGCTAGTGCAAGTGAGTGGTTCTGGAGTGAGAGTTGGTGCTGATGTGTGGTGAGCTGGCTGCAAAGTGTCACATATGACAGTCACACCATCAGTGTGAGGGCTGTGAAATGGTGTGAAGTACTGTGTGTGTGTTTTAGATCTTTTACTTTTGAGGAAACTTTGAAATTTTGGTGAATTTCCTAAAGATTTACTTATCATTCTGCCCCAGCTGCCTGTGTAGCTGTACAAGGTTGCCTCAGCCTCAGGTGGTCCCTGGTTACAGGTCAAAGGGCAGCATGGCACTAGAGGCGGAACTTACAACCCTTGTCTA